TATTTCCCTATTTTCTCCCTGAGTTGTACATTTCCTTAATTCCCTTTCCCTTGTTAATAAACCTTTTATTAACCTTTTGTGTGTGCCTGTAGTGGAGAATTAATAAGTCCCTTTTAAGCGCGCGGGTGAGGACCCACAGCCAGGCAACCCGTTTTATATCGGGGTTGCCCTATAACAAGAAGGCAGATTCTACACTGCAGGAAGCATTCTCCACCACACACATTCAGAACTATGAAAGACACATCTGTTGTTTAAGTTACCAGTACATGGTATTTTGCTATAGCAGCCCTAGCAGACTAAGATAACCAGCAAAGTGCAAGTAGGAAAAAGGAGAACAGTGGAAACATTCAGAAATAGCAGCAGAAAAACCTAGCCTAGACCCAGACCCACAACGGGCTCACTATGACACTGGGGGAATTTACCCGACACTCCAAGCCTAGGTATCCAGAATAGGTAAGGGGGGCACTAGAGATGCCTACTCTGCAGGATTGTTGAAAAGGTTGTTTGGTTGCCCTAGTCTATCACCCAGTACAGAGGTTGAACTCAGTTAATAGGTGTTATGCATATCCACTCAGGCCTGTATGACTCTCAGGGGCTGTTCCTGCTCTGCTTTAAAGGAATTAACTTTGTAAACCACTGCAATCGAAGTCAATAAATATTTATGAAAGACTCACAGTGTGCCTGGGATTGGGAATGTTCCAGAAGCAGGCATGGTTCTGCTTCTGGAATGCAGCAGAGATGGCTAGTTCCCCACCATCTCGTTGCCCCTTCTTCCTCAGTAATAGAGGATTCAGATTTTATTCACCCAGATTTTAATGCACCCAGCAAGAAGACATCATTTCCCAGCTTTCTCTGCAGCTAGGAGTAGTCATGTGACCTAAAGCCAACAAAATATAAATGGAAATGTGGAAATTCCAGGAAGACTTCTACAGGGAATGGATTCAACTGGAAAGCAAGCTGCTTTTTGTCTGTTTTGTCTTTTCCAGGTAGGTGTGGTTGCTGAACTCTCACAGTCAAGAAAAGGAAGGAACAGGGATGCCTGACAACTCTGTGAAGCCACAGTTCAGGCCTGGACTGCCTCTCTCCAGATGACTTTTACATGAGGAAATAAAATCTTAGCTTTTCAAGCTGCTTTTCCTAGGGTTTTCTGCTGTACACAATCAACCTAAATCTTCACTTTCACACGGCATTTTCCCTGTGTGCATGTCTGTGTCCAAATTTCCCCTTATTGTAAGGAAAATACTGGGCTAGAGGCCCGCCCTACCCCAGTATGGGCTCATCTTAACTACTTACCTCTGCAACAACGCTATTTCCAAAGGAAGTCACACTCTTAGGATTTGGGGATTAGGGTTTCAAGACATGAATTTCTGGAGGCTACACTTCAACCCATACCAGGTATCCAATCAGTAGCTCAGAGATTCAGCAAAAGAGGCAAGGCCACCCAGCATCAACATCTCCTGGGAGTTTCTCAGAAGTGCGAATTCTTGGTCCTACCATAGATCTACTGAATCAGAAACCAAGGGCTCAGCAATTGTTCAACAAGTCTTCCAGAGGATTCCTTCATTCATTCTCCCTTCTTTTTCTTTCTTCTCCTTTCCATTCCATTTCTATCAATTTCTGATTGAGAATATATTGAATATACACATAGATTTAAGGAGAATTCACATCTTAACAATGCTGAGTCTTCTGATCCATAAATTTAGAATTTCTCTCCACTTATTTAGATCTTCTTTAATTTCTCTCAGCAATACTTGGTAGTTTTCAATGTACAGATCTTGTACCTCTTTTGTCAAATTTATCTACCTTACAGGTGTGTCTGATGCACAAAAAGCTACTTAACTTTCTACATTGGCATTGTCATTTAAATATGGCGTTAGAAAGTAAATCTTAGAACAGAATACGCAAAAACATTATTGTAAGCATATTACAAATTTAGAAAATTCAAAACCTTAGGCTATAATTCATTTAACTAAAATGTGGGTGAATATAAGATAGAGTATATATTCAAAATATAATTCCTTTGAACTGATTAGAATTTTAATTGAAGGGCCTCCCCGGTGGTGCAGCGGTTGAGCGCTGGGCTGCGAAGCTGTCTGCAGCCTCTGCAGCACCAGTTTGATCCCTGGCTGCCAGCGAGGGTCCCACATGGTGCGCAGACCTATCCTGCCAAGCCCACTGCTCCCCTCAGCAGTGTACTTCGGTCCTTCTGCCTGTTCTGCTCCCGGCTCTGACTCTGGTGAATTCTCTCACCCTCCCATGCTTCTGACTGTACCCAGTGCTTATATAAATAAATAAAAATATCTTTAAAAAGAAGAATTTTAATTGAAAATGAGGTCTTAGTCACAATAGTAACAAAAAGTACTGAGCAAGACATTTAATCACATTCAGTATCATCCAATTTATATTTTTAAAAAATATGTGTGTTTCTACATCTCAGTAACATCTTTAAAGACACATCACCCAAAACAGTGATAGTGAAGGCAAAGACAAACAGCTGGGACTACATCAAACTAAAGAGTTTCTGTACAGCAAAAGAGACAGTAACCAAAGCAAAGAGACACCCCACCGATTGGGAGAAAATTTTTGCATACAACACTAATGATAAAGGACTGATGACAAAAATCTACAAAGAGCTGATGAGATTCAACAAAAACAAAATAAATAACCCAGTCAAAAAATGGGCATAAGAGTTAAAAAGAAACTTCTCCAAAGAGGAAATGCAAATGGCCAACAGTCATATCTAACAATGTTCAACATCACTTGTAATCAGGGAAATGCAAATCAAAACTACCATGAGATACCATCTTACACCAGTGAGAATGGCACATTTTAAAAAACTAGAAACAACAAATGTTGGCAAGGATGTGGAGTAAAAGGAACTCTCCTGCACTGTTGGTGGGAGTGCAAACTGGTCCAACCACTATGGAGAGCTGTGTGGAGATTTCTTGACCTACTAAACATAGAGCTTCCATATGATCCAGCAATTCCACTCCTAGGTATTTACCTAAAGAACACGGAAACATTAATTCAAAAGGGCACCTGCACCCCTATGTTTATAGCAGCACTACTTACAATAGCCATGGAAGCTATGGAAACAACCCAAATGCCCAAAAATAGATGACTGGATCAAGAAGATGTGGTACATATACACCATGGAATATTACTCAGCAATCAAAAAAGATAAACACATGCAATTTGCAGCAACATGGATGGAGCTGGAAGGGATCATGCTCAGCGAAATAAGCCAGAAAGAAAAAAAAAAATACTGGGTGGTCTCACTCATAACAGGAATTTAGAAAACTTAAATAAGGGACCAGGAAAAAGACTAATTATAATAACGTAAAAATCAAAATCAACAAGCAACTATAAACCAGAGACATACTATGAGTATGGGGAGGAAAGAAGAGATTTGGGTCAAAATAAGGGGGTGGGAATTGTATGGGGAATATAACCAAGATGAAAATGCATACATTGTGCAAAAATGAAAAATGATGTAAAAAATATAAAATAAAATAAAATAAAATTTTAAAAAAGTATGTTTCTATGAAAGGAAGAGGATGGAAAGGGTGAGAGGGAGTGTCTCTATTTCCTTTGAATTTATTCCAATGATAGTATATTAATACAATACTTATATAATCTTTAAAACTTTACAAAAAAACAACATATATGATCCTATTTTATCAAACTTTAAATATACTCAGAAAAGAATCTCAAACGATCTTCACACAAACATGTACAGATGGTGGGATTCCAGAGGATTTCCAGTGTGATTTTTCTGTTTATTATTATTTAATATATTATAATGAGCACATGTTACTTTTACAAGTAGTAAAGATAGCTTCATTTTAAAATGAAACAAACTTAGTGGGGCCTCCCTGGTTGTGCAAGGGGTTATGACACAACCTATGAAGCTGTCCACAACCACTGTAGCACGAGTTTGATCCCTGGCCAGGGAGCTACCCAAATAGTGCAGCCAACCTCTCCTGACTTGCCCCCTGCTCCCCTCAGCAGTGTATTTCAGTCACCCTGGCTGTTCTATTCTCCACTCTGTCTCTAGTGAATCCTCTAACCGCCCCCCCAATTCTGGCCTTTACCCCAGATCTTTTATGCATAAATAATATCTTTTAAAAAACAAAAAGAAAAGAAACAAACTTAAACTAAAGAGTGTTGCTCATGACAAGAACAAGGACACTTAACACTAAAATAAAAGAAATAAGAATGTATCATTCAGGGTTGGGGAAAGGAAAAAAATAAGAATATAAATGGATAGAAAATAAATCATGTTTCTATTTATAATTTATTATAGATTCACATATAAATATAGGAATGCTAAATCTTCCCAAGCTTTAAATGGATTTATTACAATAGTAATTAATATCTCGAAAAAGAAACTTCCTATTAAAATGCTCACTCTTTCAATTCTCGGCTTTTTGGCTAAGATCAAGTGTAAAATATTCACTCTCCTTTTATGAAATCCATTGAACCAAGCAAAGGAAAGGAAGACTAGAGGGAGATCCCGTTTTCAATGAGACAAGGAAATATGTCATAGCACCAAGCCAGAGTCAGTAAAGCAGACCTGCTGGTTTCTGTGGAATCAGAACCAGAACACGAAAAGAAGTGCCAGGAACCTTCACAGCAGGCCCCAAATCTCTTCAAAGGTCCATAGTGGGAGGCTGAATGATTAGTATGGGCTGTCTCCAGAAACCAGGGAATGTCCCATTGACAGTGGGATCCACACTGCAAGCGAGATGGGACTACATGAACCACTTTGCCTCCAGAGAGAACATTCTGGGGTGATGCAGTGGGAAGGAGAAAGTGAACCTCCTGGCAGGGACCAGCAGATACACCACAGGGACTCTGTGAGTCTAAGCCATGTGGACACCAAAGGCAGCGGGGAGGTGGTGCCTGAAGAAAAGGAACTGAGAGGGTGCTTAGACAATAAAAACCATTAAAGTTGGAGGATGCTACATGTTTTCCAATCCCTCCACTTCCCTACTCACCATCCTGATAAACTCTTCATATTCTCACAGAAATTTCAGACACTGTATTTCTAGAAAACAAGCCCAAACAAAAAACATAAAATTCAAAGAAGAGAGTATAAAATGAAAGGAGATTAAAAAGCAAGTTAGTAAAGTTCCAATTTAAATGGAAGATTAACTACAATAGAGATGGAATCTATATTAAAAGCAACATGAAATAGGATATAAATAACTGACTATGGAGTTTGAACTATAGTAGACAGACTGGGAAAATAATAAAAACCAGAATATATTAATGGTTCTAGAGAAAATTGCTATTGTTACAGAAGACCAAAAACAGGGATCCTGGGCATTTCTGAAGGAGAATAAAAGGAATGAAATATAAATTATTTTAAAAGTAAAGGAACTCCTTTTAAATAAGAATGACTTAAATCTATAGCTCAAAAGGGCACATATATCCTAAAAAAATTGATATGGACTATTCAATACCGTACACCAACATATACATCCTACTAATGCAATGAGACACTCAAGATAAAGAAAATCTCACATGAATAACCATGAAGATAGTAAACCATGTAGAGAGAGAAAAAAAAAATTCAAGTTTTTCCACAAAGCCAGGAGACAGAGGACCAATAGCTAAAAAAGTCTAAAGGGAAGAAAACATGATTCAAGGATTACATACATGCCACGTCATTCATCAAGTGAAAAGGCAACAGACAGACATCCTCAAGCATGCAAAATTTAGAAACCCAGGGACCTTTCTTGAAAACTGTTCATGAATGCAGTCTATCCAACCCAGGATCAGTCAAAATTATAATAGACAGACTAGGTGCACTGGTTTCCTAGGGCTGCCATACCAACTTCCACAGACTGGGTGGCATAGAACCTAAATCTATTGTCTATCAGTTCTCTGGAGCGAAGTCTAAAGTGAAGGTGTTGGCATGGCCATGCCTCCTGCCGAACGGGTGGGGGATCCTTCCTTGCATCTTCTGGCTTTGTTGTAGCCCTGGATGTTCCCTGACTGTGGCGGCTAACAGTCTTCACATACTGTTCTCCCTGTCTTCACAGTCTTCCTCTGCATGTCAATGTCCACATTCCCCTTTTTATAAGGACACAAGCCACACTGTATAAGGGCCTACTTGATGATCTCATTTTATCCATTTTTTAAAAAAGATTTATTTTTTATTTATACAATAGCTGGGGTACAGGCGTGGGAGAGTGAGAGGATTCACCAAAAACAGAGCAGGGAGCAGAACAGGCAGACGGACCGAAAGCACTGCTGAGGGGAGCAGCGGGCAAGACAGGAGAGTCTGCTAGGCCATGTGGGCATTTCCCTGGCTGGCCAGGAATCGAACCCTTGCTGCAGAGGCTGCGGACAGCTTCACAGCGCTGCGCTCAATCTGCTGCACCACCAGGGAGGCCCAATGATCTCATTTTAACTTGATTATCTCTGTAATGACACTTTCTAAATAAGGTCACCTTCTGAGTTGCTGGGAGTCAGATTCCAACATACCATTCTTTTTTTTTTTTAAAAAAAAGATTTATTTATTTATGCATACAAGAGCTGGGATGTAGACCAGCGGTGCAGGGGGAGGGCGTGAGAGGATTCACCAGAGACAGAGTGGGGAGCAGAACAGGCGGATTTACTGAGATACACTGCTAAGGGGAGCAGCAGGTGAGACAGGAGAGGTTGGCAGCGCCATGTGGGTCACCTCCCTGGCCAGGGATCAAACTTATGCTGCAGTGGCTGTGGACAGTCTCACAGTGCTGCATCTTAACCCCTTGTGCCACCAGGGAGGCCCCTGGGAGGTGAGGTTTTTTTTAACTTTTTTTTGTAATACTTTTCTATATTACCTGAGTTTTTATAAGTGTTGTGAACAAAAACAATAAAATCATTGCTCTACTTTTTTTTCCCCACCAAAAGCTTTTCCTGTAGGCATTGAGGGGTGGGCCTTACCTTCAGGTCCTGGAAGAAGGTGGGATCTTTGAGTGTGGTGACAGGGGACATGAGGTGTATGGACTGGGAGGGGGCTCTTACACAACTTGGGGTCTTGTTCATAGCTGCTGTTTCAGAAAACTCAGTTGCAAATGTGACCACGTGTATTAAGGACTTTCCATAGTCAGACCCAATCCCCAGAGCGGTCAAAGGCCACTAAAGCTGATAAAATGAGTAAAAGTGCCTTTTAACTTTCGAGAAGGTGCAGCATTTGCTTTACTATGACATCAAAGAAGCCAATTTTCCCAGAAATCCACCCAGAGACTCCATTCTGTGTTCTGAGCTCCCAGCTACAAGCCCCACCCCAACTTGTCCTCCTACCTGGACTTTTCCTACAGGAAAGGCATCTGGTACCCAGTGGTCATCACATTCTTATTTTATTTTCCTCTTCTTCTATCTGATTGTCCCCAAATGTTTGACAGGAAATTTATCATTTATAACTTCTCTTCCAGTATTTTCATAAAAAAGGTGCAGTTTTTTGTGGCCACAACATGCAGGCAACTAGGGTTTTGTGAGGTTAAGCACATGGCATGACAAGATTGGTGGGCTTTCAGTCTTACTTCCATAAGTTGGTGCTCACCTCACATTTCCTCTTTCTGAATAATATACATAACAGGTGTCCCTACAGGAGACACCAGCTCAGCAGCAATGGGTGCAGGGACAAGCAGGGCTATAGGGGCAGGGAAGTCTACAGTGGGACTAGGGTCCTGAGCCAGGCATGCTTTTCCTTGGGCCTGCAGCCCTAGAGGTTTTATCTACCTGAATGAGACCTAAGGGAGTGTGGCCCATAGGATCCGCACACTGGTCTCTGACAAAAGGCTGGGGATCATACATAGCCTCCAAGGGACAGAATCACTGGACAGGTTGTCATAGTAACATAACCAGAGAGGCAGGTGGGAGGCTTTCAGTGAATGAGGAGCACAGAGAAACACAGCAGGGGCCATAAGGGTAGCACCTTCCAGGAGCCTTAGGAACCTCCTTAGAAAATGTGGCATTACCCACCTTTTTTTTTTTTAACCAGAAAGATTACTTTTAAACATACAGAAAATTATAAAAACATACAGAAAATCAATTCATTTCAAGTAAAATAAAACTACAAGTCCTATGTGTTCTGTTTTAAATGTTCTAAGTTATAGAATTTTCTGTTGCAATTTGTCCACTTCCTCTTTGCTCTTCAGACCCCTCTAAGATGGGTGCTAATTATTCAGAGAGCTGAGTGTCTTAGAACTTACAGATATTAAATAAGTCTCAGAAACCACCCTGACCCTGATTGCTCATATCTCCCCTCATGACCCTTTGCCACTTAGTCTTTGCTCTAATGATGAGCTTCTTGTATTTCACTGTGTGACCAGGCTGCTGCTTCTTTTCTTCTCCAACAATACTGATTTGGGCAGATGGCTTTTGCTCTCCTTGTTTATGCTTATTTAGCTGCATCTTCTTCACACCAAAGTCTCCATCTCTAGAGAGTTACCTCTGATTATTAGTGATGGTATTCATTAAGTGAGAGCAAATCATGAAAAAGCAAAATGAATGAGCATTTTACCACAGGCTTAAACCACTGCCCACAATAAAGATGAATGGAAGTCTCTGGCTTATCCAGTATCAAAACTTGGGTGACAAGATTGAATCATTTTTTTGTCAACCACTTCAGTTCATTCATTTCTCAGCTACTTCAGTCAGGCTTCTTCCCTCTCCACCCACTGATGTGTTCTTTTCAAGACCACCAGGGAGACCCTATTCTTGCCAAACCTGATTGACTTGTTTTTGATACCAGGCACCAAGGAGCACTAAAACCGGCCAAGGACACTGCCCAAATAGTTTACCGGTTACTGCCCGAGTTCTTCACCCACCTGCACAATTGCAAGACTACTCAGGCACAGAGAACAACAACAATGGGATTTATTTAACAAATCAGGGAAAAACCAAGTTACTGAGGCCAAAATGGCCGTTTGCCTCATCTGAAGCAGTGTCCAGTGTTTTTAAGTACTGAACAAATAGCATCAAAGATGTCATCTTCCTGCCACTGAGGACACAGAGCTCCTCTCCTGAACAATAGGCCACGGTCCCAAGATGGCATCTTCCCACCACTGAGGACCTGGAGCAGGTGCCAGCCAGACTATAGGCCAGATTCCAACTCACAAAGACAACAGAAGGCACAAAAGGAAATACTCCCCCAGAGCTGCTGAGATGCCCCAGCACAGCACCGGACAAGCAGCACTCAAAACAGCAGCTGCAGTGACTGAACGACCCAACCAACAAAAGGCCACACTCACGGAGCTAAGTGAGGTACCTGGCTCCAGGTCTTCACGTTCTCTGGCGGGCTGTAACAGCAGCAAAACCAGGAACAGCTTCAGTCGCTGCGCTGCTTACAAAACCTCCTAACTTTTCCTCTCTGAGGTTGGCTGCTGGAGACCTCTCCACATCCTCCTGAGGCCTGCACCAGCCTTCTGGAATATTGGGGCAGTGGGGGCAGAAATTGCTGACCCTGGAATCACTGAAGATCCAAAAATACTTAATCCCAAACACCAAATGCTCAAATGCTGAATCCCAAACACCGAATCCTGGGGGCTGCTTCTGCAGTCCCTCATATTTCTTATCAGAGTCTCCACCCCAAAATACAATACATTTTTAGCATTTTTCCTGGGGATATCCTCACCAACACCCCACTCCAGGGCTCACCACCTGTAACAGTCTTTGGCTTCAGCCACTGGTTACATTCTGTACCATTGTCTAATTCCTCTGCTCATATGTGAAACTAAACATTCTCTACATCTTTAAACTCCCTTTTCCATTGATTTCTCTCACTTCTCTCCCAGTTCTCACCAGCTCTCTAATCATTCCCGTCACTCTTTCCCTATCCTCTCCTAACCATGTTTTCAGACTCTATTCTTAGTGAAGAAAGTTAAAAACCTCAAGTTTAACTACCAAATGTCTTCCAGTCCAGATCCCTCCAGTGTGCCAATCTGAAACATCCAACCCCTTTAGGATGTTTTAATTTGCCCCCAATTGCTCAACTCAAGTTGCTCAACCTCCTGGGTTCTAATTCCTGAGGATCCTCTGCTGCCCAGGAAAATATACTCATGAATAAAAGTAAGATTCATCCCAGGGGCCCCAAAGCAGAAGTTGACTCCAAGAACTGCAATTACTTTCCTTGGTTTGATCAGAAATCATGACTGCAAGTTATTTCACAGATAATAGCTCAGAGAGGAAGTTACATTGTTCTTTCTCCTGTATCTATTTCCCCTTTCGAGATCCTCCAAAGGTAGAAAATAGAGAGGGATCTCTACCTTTCTTCTTTGCACTTGTGACATCAGCCTGGAGATTCGTGATTATCAGGATGAAGGGGTTCAAGTGGATGAAGAGCGAGTTCAGTAAGATTTTCCCAAATGTTCCATGTTTCCTGAGAACACAAACCAAACCAATTCACTTAGCTCTGAGCTCGGGAGTTTTAATCTTTCAAAAACACACTTCCTTCCTGTATTTCTAATAATTACTGTTTCTAGCTCTTCTAGAAATCCCACTAGTCACCCCTGACTCTGTGATCCAAAAGAATTAAGTCACAAAAATAGAACCATGAGAAAAGTTAGTTTGACCCCTTTGCTCTCTGAAATGTGCTGGGTGGAAAGAGCCTTAGGGGATGGGGGGGGAGCAAAAGGGGGAATTTTTTCACTAGGTCTTCCATCTCAAGGAAAAATAAACTGAAGGAATAAAAAAATGTTTTAAATTAATCATCCACAGGAAAGATATTTTGTGGGAAAGAACTCATACTGGAGCTATTCTAGTACTTAGAAAATGAGTTTTAAACCTAAGATACCTGAATTGGCTTATTCGAATATATGCTCTTCTAGAAACTGTGAACTATGTGCTTTTGTGTCAGGTGCTCAGAGGGGTTCCTAATGCCTCAGAAGGCAAGAAGGCCCAAGGAAAAGCATGCCTGGCTCAGGACCCTAGTCCCACTGTAGACTTCCCTGCCCCTATAGCCCTGCTTGTCCCTGCACCCATTGCTGCTGAGCTGGTGTCTCCTGTAGGGACACCTGTTATGTATATTATTCAGAAAGAGGAAATGTGAGGTGAGCACCAACTTATGGAAGTAAGACTGAAAGCCCACCAATCTTGTCATGCCTCCAGGTTAACTAACTTGTACCAGTTATCTATTGCCATATGACAAATTACCCAAACAGATTTGCTGTATAATAAATTCCTCTTTCTGAGGGAAGAACTGATTTGTGCAGTGGCAATCCCTGGAAGAAAGCTTTATCATATTTATCAATCTTTTTACTGTAACAGAAAGATCCTGTCAACCTTTCAAAGGCAAGAAAAGCATCTCATACAATGTAATGCAATCAACATTTATTATCTCACACATTGGATGGGCCAGGAATTGCCGAGTGATTTAATTGGGTGACTCAGCTCAGGGTCTCTTGTGATGTTGCAACCAAGAAGTCAGTTAGGATTGCTGCCATTCAAAGGCTTGACTGGGGCTAGAGAAGCTGCTTCTCTGTGATGATCACAGAGCTATGATGTTGGCAGAGGCCTCAGTTCCTTGCTGGCTACTGGTAGGATTTATTCCTGGCCATACCAACTGTCCATGAGCTGCTTGAGTATCTTCATAACACAGCAGCTGGCTTCCCCCAGAGTGAGTGACCAAGAGAAAGAGCAAGGAGGAGGCCATAATGCCTTTTATGACAGTCTCAGAAGTCATAAGTCAGTCCTGTCACATGCTATTCTTTAAGCCAGGCAGCTCATACTCAAAGGTAAGTAGGCTCTACTTCCTGAACAGCAAGTATCAACAAACTTGTGATATATGTTTAAACTACCAGACGAGTAAAGAAACCTCTAGTCTCGCTGAGAATCAAATTTCTTCTTATATCAGATTGTTTTGCAGTGTTTGGGACCCCAGAGGGTAAGGTCCCCTGGCCGCCTTCAACAAATCACTAAACTAAACAATGTCTCAATTTTTTCATTGGTTACTGGGAATAAAAATAGTACCTACTTCAAAAGATTGTTGCAGTAGAATTAAGTGAAAGGCTAGATCAAAAAATTCTAGAAAAATTAACAGTAATAATGGTGATCCCACCCCCAAGTTAGAATCCCCATTTCCATTAACTAGAAGAGTATATTAATGGATTATAAATCCACAAATGAATCAAGAAGTGATTATTTATTGAGTTTATTTGTGGAACAGGTGCTACAGGGCAGGCAGATACGAAAGTTAAAATCAGACTCTATCTTTGGTAGATATATTGTTTCATTGAGAAGAAAAGATTTATATGCACGAGACAGGAATGCTTAGCCATCCAGTGACATTCCTCTCTGTAGAGCACAGAGGAGTCCCTGCCTTGAGTGTAATTTTGAAGGTTCAGATTCAGGCCTGGGAGAGTAAATAAAATTTTAAGGTGAAAGGGATGCTGAAGTCTGAAGGGAAACTACAGAAAGCTTTTTAAGGACAAACAAAGGAAAAATAAAAAGAATTTATGCAGTCAAGAGTTCACAGAAAAAGGAAGGACTTAATGAAAAAGAAAAATAATGCAGGAAGTTTTTCTGAAGGAAGAACTGGTTTGGGCTGTGGTAATCCCTGAAGGAAAGCTTTCTCATATTTTTCAACCTATTTACTGAAACAGAAAGATCCTGTTAACCTACCAGGGGCAAGGAAAGTGTCTGTTAGGGTTCTGTAAACCAGCACAGAGTAGCCATGGAAGACACTTTAAAAAAAAAAATACTTACTGAAAAACCAGTTCTTTAATTCAGATTTTACATTAAAATTTTTGCTGGCAAGCACTCCCCAGAACTGGTTCCCGGCAGTCCTGCTTTTCTACTCATCTGCTATTGTGGGAGGTCAAAATTTCCAGGAGCTACTTGATTCTATTATGCAGCTGAAGCACTCTCAGATTCTCAGCTGACCCCCAAGGCAATTTCACATGGTTGAGGGAAGAAGAGAGAGGCATCTCCAGTCTAGTCTCAAAGTCCATCTCGAGTGTGGAGGCCATGGGAACTAAGGCTGATCATATACTCCTGGGGCCTCATCTCTTTCCCTCCTCTCCTCTCTGAAGTCTGTTGATGGCAACTAGCCTCAGTTGTTTATAGTTTATAGCCCAAGACACTTTGACGCAGGTAAGTCACTTGCTTACTCACTTACCTTTCTATTAAGTTATAATGAAACAAGTCTCAGACCAAATTCTGCCCCCCATGTAGACGTGAATTAAACACTCATGAGGATTTGGGCATAGGACATTTCCTACAACCTGCTCTGTCAGTTCCATGAAATCCCACTCTCGTTCTTTTAAGTAACCCAGCCATTGCCTGGCATGAGTGGTCCACTGGAGGCAGAGGTGACAGCATTCTAGAGGCAGGCTTTTGTTATCTTTGTTGACGGTCAGTACCAGAAATCCCCTAAAGCTGGAGACAGGAGTGGCTCAGGACAAAGTGGCAAGCACTGTCCTTGCAGGTGTATGCTAAACCCTGTTCAGGTAAATGTGGAGAGTGCCTGTAAAATATTTTAGTTTATTCACATATCTTCACTATCTTTAATTTTGTCAGCGAGTGCCCTTTTTGTTATCATTCCTCATGTAATTACCAAACCACTAATTTCACCAAATAAAACTCAAATAGTGCCTACTATGGATCAACATACAGATTACTCAAGCACTTTTAGGGACTGCTTCAGCAGGTGGCCTCTCTGCTATAATGCTAGCTGACATCCCTGGAGTGTAAAGTGGCCCCTGGAATTGAAGCTTAATCTCTAACCAGCAAGTGCACAGGAGTATACCATCAATACTGCAGTATTTTCAGTAAATTATAGACATCAAGACACTTGCTTTGACCTGGGAGGGGGGAAAAACCCATTATTTTCATAAGTTACAATGGAATCCTAGTTGATAATAAGAACAGTGGCCCCAGGCTCTGTTCTATGGCTATTTATCAGTCACTCTTTTCTGTTTGGAGAGATGATTCATATAAGAGATGACTTAATGAGATGACAGAAGTTGGATGAGATATGATTAAAGTTGGTGAGATGGTAGAGGGGACTCCAGATTCCTAAGCATTACAATAGAGGGAAATCCTTCTTACTTGAAAAAGGTTATTTTAATACCAGGAGAAGGAAATGTTATTTCATCTGGTTCTCATAGAAATAGTTGCCTCCAAAAGTAGTTTGGGGTATAAACAAAAAAATAATAATTCTGGGCTAAATCAAAGGTCATAAAATGACAACCCACAAAACAATGTTTTATTTGGCCTTAAGAATATTGCAAAATGAATGAATGTGATTTCTAGGACATAAAAATCTGCATTTCCAGCTTCTCTTGAAAAAAAGAAATCACAAGATTTGGCAACACTAGGTCTGTGCTCCCTGCTGATATCAGCAGCTGAAATTGAAGAACCACCTAACAGGCATTTCCTTTCCACCTTGTGACAGTCCTTACTCTGCCCTATCATTCCCAGCTCTGAGGGCCATTTGGAATCTTGGTTACACTGCTGCATTTTTTTTCAAAGATTTATTTATTATGCATACAAGAGCTGGGGGGTACAGGCCAGAGGTGTGGAGGGGTGAGAGGATTCACCAGAGACAGAGCGGGGAACAGAACAGGCAGATCTACCGAAATACACTGCTGAGGGGAGCAGGGGGCCCGGGGAGCCAACTCATGCTGCAGTGGCTACAGACAGCTTCACAGGCTGTGTCTTAACCCTTGCGCCACCAGGAAGGCCCCTGTATTTCTTATAGTAGAAATATGAGAAATGTGAACTATTTCTCATATCTGAAGCAGCATTTCAGCATCATAGTTAAGAGTATGGGCCCTAGAGGTAAGACAGTCCAGTTCTTAATCTGGTTCTTTTACTTTCTACTTATTTGACTTTGGGGAAATTGTTTAACCTCTCTAAGGCTAGGCTCCCTTATCTGTAACATGAGAATAATACTGGTATCTACTTCTTAGGGCTGTTGTGAGGATTCAAATGCTTAGGGAAGTTTCAAATAAGTGCCTCTGGGATGGCTGCATGTCCCATCCAGCCCACCTCAATTTTTTTACCCTCTTGGCCCCATCTAGGCATTGAGTTCATGATCTTTGGTTCAAATGAATATGTGGGCATCATTTAGGAATGGATACTGAGCATGACTGGGGAAGACCCTCCTCCACTTCAAAAATCATTTCATGGAGCACCCCTTAACTATCTGTACCAGCTGAATCTTGAATGTAAGTAATAGGCGAAGATGTGAGGGAGGATCATGGAACTGAATTTCTATCCAAACATTGCCTTGCAATAAGATGATATTCCTGCCTCATTAGACTCGATCAAAAGAAATAATGTCTTCATGAAAACACAAATCACAAAATGGGAGAAGATATTCACAATCCATATAGCTGCTGAGGACTGGTATTCAAAATAATATTGGATATTGAAACTAATACAAAGAATTTCTATAAAATGCAAAAAGATAACCAGCCCACTAGAAAATGGGCAGAGATGAATAGGCAACTCACAAAGAAACAGGTATGACCAATAAATATAGGAAAAGATACTCAATTCCATCGTAATCTAGCAAATGAAAGTTACAGCCACAATGAAGTATCATTTTATTCTAATTGTACTGGCAAAAATGTCACAGTCTGGTGGTGGTGGTGGTAGACTGTAATTGCTGGTAGAGGATAGAATGACATAGCCACTTTGAAGAACACTTTGGGAAAACTGCTTATCTGAGGTACTAGCCCTTCCATCATGGGAATCAACCCAGTAAAGACCTGGCTGAGAAACAGGCATAAAACTGTTTATGGCCCCATTGCTCGTAATAGCCAAAACTGGTAATAATCTAAATGTTTATCAGCAGAAGAACATATCACATATTCAAACAATAAGTCACAATATCAATCAACAAGAATGATTTGCAAAATATATTAGATACAGAAAGCAAGTTGCATAAGAAAACACACAACATGAAGCCCCATATATAAAAGAGCATGCAAAGCAGCACTGCAAATTGCTTGGAAGTACATGTATTAAAAATGCATGGGAGCAAGAAATACCAAATTTAAGATATTGATTGCCTCTGAAAGGGAGAGGGAAATGAGATCTGAGATCTCATTTCAGCTGTATTGGGGCTTCAGCCGTATTGAACTGCTTTATTTCTTGAGTTGTTAATACCTGGTTCGAGTATCTAATTGGTCATTATATCTTTTTGTATATGTTAAATATTGCAAAAAAAATTTAAAATACACTTATTCATTTCTTATAGTCTTTTTGTATTTCAGAGTTAATTAAAACTTTTCCCAGACTGTATTAGTTTTCTGTTGCTGTTTTAGCAAATTACCAGAAATGTAGTGGCAAACAAATTTATATATCAGTTCAGGCCCTTTTCTCCATTTTTTCAAAGCCAGGAGCACAGCATCTTCAAATCTCCCCCACTTCTGTCACATCTCTGAATCTGATCCTCCTGTCTCCCTCTTATAAGGACCCTCATAAGATTATACTGGTTGATTCAGATAATCCAGGATATTCCTCTCATTCCAAATTTCCTAATCATACCTGCAAAGTCCCTTTTGTCATGTAAAGTAACATTCCCAGGTTTTGGGGATTAGAACATGGTCACTTTGGGGTGGGGGCATTTTCTGCATGCCACATGGACCTTAAACCTTTTGCAGGCTTAATGCAATGACTACTGTGCCAGTGGAAAACCACTGGCCTGCTTAGCTCTTGGTATCTGGGTTAGATTCCCTGCCCTGGTTGAGATCCAGATGGCTACAAAGCTGTTAAAAGGTAAATCCCCTGGGAGAAAAGAAAATCAAAGGCTGGCCATTCCCAAGATGAAGAATGGATCCAGAACTATGGAGAGAGTAGTCCCAAACTGGACAAATTAGATCTCAAAATTTCCTCAGAGCAGCTAAACCGATAGCTCTAGAATATAAATCTGATGATGTTCCACCCCGTGTTAACTCCCTTGGCATTAGAATAAAGAACAAAGTCCTTATAATAGTCCTAAAAGAGTGTTTCTCAACCCCAACGGTATTGATATTTGGGGCTGGATAATTCTTTGTTGTGGAGGCTGTGCTATGCATTGGGGGATGTTTAATAGCATCTGTGGCCACTACCCACTAGATGCCAGTCTCTCTCTTTCACACACACACACACACACACACACACACTTATGCTTATGACAATCAAATTATGACAACCTTGCCAAGTGTCTATGGGTTCACAATCACCCTAGATTGAGAACTGCTGTCCTCAAAGATCCTACAGGATGGGGCTCTGCCCATCTCCCCACCCTCTTCTCTCCTCTTTAGCTCCCTAAAGAGCATCTCCCACATAACACAGCAGTGGCCCCTCTGGTCACTGTATTCTACATGCACTGTTCCCTCTTTCTGGAACTTTCCTCCCCATGACCCCCACCTGGCAAACTCCTTTCTGTCTCAGTTAAAGTGTCTCCTTCTCAAGCACCCTGTGCTGCCTCCTTAAACCCTTTCATGCCTATCATTATCTGTCTGCCTTCTCCATCAGAATGCCACCTTCCAGAGGGGAGGGCCTGTAACTCTCTTGTCTACCCACAGAGCCCACAGATGAGTGTCCACATGAACTGAATTATCTCACGGCTGGCAGGCATTATTGGTCTAACCCGTCCCATCTTCCGGTTGCCAGAACAGAAATCAACCATGAGGCCAGGTAAATCCCCAAGGAAAATAAGAGATTAATTGTCTGCTCTTTGTTTTGTCTGGACTATGTTGGCCCCAAAAAAGGTTAAACAGTAACCAGGGAAGTGAGGGCAATGAACTGATAATTCCTACGGCTACATATCAGGAATCCTTTGCCCTAGAGAGTCCGTTAAATTATGCCTTCCCTGGGGGAGAAAGGGTACCATGAGTTGGCACCAGCTGCCAGCACTCCTCGGGAAGCAAGCCAAGCAGTGGTTATCTTGCAGACGAGAACAGTCCAGCAGGGAGAAGGCTGTCCCCATCAGCTCTGATACAACAGACCATTCAGGACAGCCCTCCCAAATAAGAGATGCCTAGACCCTGGCCAGTTGCCCTTTGTCCCAACCTGGGGCACCTAAATGCAGGCAAGGCAAAGATATAATACACCACCGAAACTTGGCCCAAACTCACAAAATGATCAATGCTTAGCCTGATTCAAAAGTTGTAACTGAGACTCTGAAATGGAATGAAGAGTCTCGGGACAATCCTGAAAGGATGAAGCTCAGGCCCCGGTGGAAAGAGACAGAATATCCCAGGACAGAAAGCCAGTCCTCTCTCTCTGCCCAGATTCAGGTTCCTCCCCATTTCTCAGTCTCCTCAAGTCAGTCTAAGTCAACCATGTTACCAAATCCACACATTCCTGGTATTAATATGTTCCTTTAGATATATATATGCCTTTATGTGTAACAAAAAAAGTTACTTTTTGATTATGTAAATAGTGTATGGTCATTGCAAAAAAAATTTTCAAACAACACAAAGAAAAATAAGAAAGATAAAAATCATAGTGAGGGCCTACCCTGGTGGCACAGCGGTTGAGCACTGAGCTGTGAAGCTGCCCGCAGCCTGTGTAGCACAGTTCCATCCCCGGCCTCCGGCAAGGGTCTCACATGGCGCACAGACCTCTCCTGCCTCGCCCGCTGCTCCCCTCAGCAGTGTACTTCGTCAGTCTGCCTGTTCTGCTCCCTGCTCTGGCTCTGGTGAATTCTCTCACCCTCCCACCTTCTGACTGTACCCAGTGCTTGTATAAATAAATAAATAAATCTTTTTTTTTTAAAAAAAAAATCACAGTGAGACAGCATCAGCATCTTGGAGATTCTCCTTTTCCACAACTCTAACCAAATGTGCACATAAATGTGATTTTACACATTTAAGGCAAACTTCTTTGGGCAAGAAGGAAGAAGAAAGGAAACTTTCTTTTTGCATCATTAATAGTTAATTTCCATCACTTGCCAGAATAAAAGGCAACTGAAAAAAAAATAGAATAGAAACAAAACAATATGTTAAATATCTAGCCAGATATAGCTCCCAAGGTTCTAAAAACTAAGGCTCATTCTCTAGGAGCTGAAAGGGGAAATTAGCAAGTAATAGAGCTTGACCTGTTAAACCAAAGGGAGACTTTCTCCCAGATATAATTAGGACTGAAGAGAATTCAGGGGGGGAAAAAATCCCTCTCCTGTTATCTGTTCAGCCTCCATGCAGTAACTTGAACTGGTTGGTTGGTGCCCTCAAGTGCCTCCCACATTCAATGGAGAAGGCTGGAGGCAGAACCCACAAATACCAGAACCTGTAAGATCTGCTTAAGAGAGTATGGAGGGGAAAGGCCCGTGTGCACCAGCCCCTTGCCCCCAGAAACCTCAGGGAATTATAAAACATCTCACAGCACCTCGGGGCCATCAGTCCCGTCTTCCCTTCTCCCCAGTTCCAGACAACCCTCCTTCCCCCATCCTAGAACTGACAAGACTCTTTTCCCTCCTTCTCCACAGGCTCTTTTATTTCAGGAACCAACATTCTTGGGCAGGAGACACAAAGTCTCCTGTGTCAGGATCAGAGAAGCCCTTCTGCTGCAGGCTGCGTCCCCTGTCATCACAGACAAACTTTAAAGACAAAAACTGGGATAACACATTGCATTGCATATAACTGACAGAAGATTGGTATCCAGTATCTGTGGGGATAGGGGGAAGACTTAAAAAGAACATAAGAAAAATAGGGCCTCCCCGGTGGCGCAGTGGTTGAACACTGGGTTGTGAAGCTGCCCGCAGCCTCTGTGGCGCCGGTTCGATCCCCGGCTGCTCCCCGGTCACCAGAGGAGGGTCCCACATGGCGCGCAGACCTCTCCTGCCGCCCGCTGCTCCCCTCAGCAGTGTACTTCGGTCCTTCTGCCTGCTCTGCTCCCCGCTCTGGCTCTGGTGAATTCTCTCACCCTCCCGCGCTTCTGACTGTGCCCAGTGCTTGTATAAATAAATAAATAAATCTTAAAAAAAAAAAAGAACATAAGAAAAATAGACAAAAGACTGAATAGGAAGAGCACAGAAAAGGAAATATAAATAGCCCATAAACATATAAGAAGATGTTCAACAGCACTACTATCCAGGGAAATGTATGTTAAAATTACAATGAAACGCCCATTCACATCTGACAACTCCAAGTGGTAGGGAAAGAATTGAGGCAATAAGAATTCTCAACCTGATGTGGGAATGTGAATTAGAACAGTGCTTAGGGGAGGCAGCTGGGACTGTCTAGTAAGGTTGACGACATGTGTAGCCCCTTGACCGGAGTTTTTTATCCTTGATTCTTCTAAGCTCCCTCTCTGAATCCTTTCCTTCAGTGGCTTTCCATTGCCTTTGTGATGACTCCAACGTACCTTGCAGTTTCTAGCCCACTCTGCCCTATGTTTTTAAAGCTCTTCCAGTAAAATTAACTGCATTGTGGGATGTTAAATTAGGGTGAGGTGTCACTGGAGGATAATTTGATTTAATATCTTTACATTTCAGATGAGAATACTGAGGCTCCTGAGGGTGAATGTCTACGAAGAATACCCTGAGAAACAAAGAATTGGAGGAGACCCCATTTTTCCAGGTCCCCGATCAGGGATTTTACCCGGCACATCTCTCCCTAGACTGACATATCACAGGTTGGATTATGGGGGCACCAAGAACCCAAGCCACTTGGCTCCCTTCATACCTCTCTATTTGACACAGACAAAGAGTGACAGCCTCCATTTGTCACAGAGTAACAATGTGCCAGGGAGCTGGAGAGGAAAGTACATTCTGTGCCTGCAGCTCGCCGATCCTCAGCACTCTATCCCGGAACTGGGATGCCCTTGTGTTCACCTTGTCAAGAGGGAGCAGCCAGATCTCTCTTTTACTGTAATTGGGTTAGTCTTGTGGGTTTGCCCTCCTCCCAGCTGTCAAAAGAGATTATACAGAAATGGACTGCTGCATCCACCACAGTCCAGGTGCAGGCTGAGGCCAAAGTAGGAGGAAATTTCCAAATGTATTCATTAATCACCCTAAGTACCAGGTTGCTGCTGGCTGCAATGCTTTCTTCCGACTGCAATCACTTTTGCTCCAACTGGAGCTCAAAGGTCGCCATGCGAGCTGCAGTGCCGTCAGCAGAGGCTTGGGTGCAAACAAAGGGCAGGTGTGTGAAGGTCTGTACTGACCCTGCAAGACTCCCCACACCGGAGGGGGTGTGATATTAAATAGCAAATGAAAAAACATATGATAAGCAGGAAACCACAGAAGAAACAGGCTTTTCTCCTGCTTTTTGAACACGGAGCTCTGTATTTTCATTTTGCACTGAACCCCACAAATGATCTAGCCAGCCCTGCCTCTCAACCCAACAGTATCTTATTCCATGCAGGCTGCTGTAACAAGATAGGACAGACGGGGCGGCTTATGAAGAGTAGAAATTTGTATCTCACAGTTCTGGATGCTGGAGTCCAAGTTCAGGGTGCCAAAAGGGTGGCCTCACTCCAGGTGTGCAGGCTTCCCATCTTCCTCATTAAAAGCAGGTAGGAAGCTCTCTGCAGCCTCTTTTATAAGAATGCTAATTTCATCGTGAGGACTCCACCCTTATGATTTAAGCACTTCTCAAAGGCTCCACCACTTAATATCACCACCTCTGGGGGTTAGGGTTTCAACCATTGAGATTAGAGGCAAGGAGGGCCTTGAGTGTTCAAACCACAGCAAGCCCTTTGTAAACTCAAATAGGTGAGAGTGGAGCATCTGTTTACTCAGAACCACACAGGAGTTTATAGAAGTGGAGCTGCTTTAACTAGATTGAGAAGATGTGGTATATAGACACAATGGAATACTATTCAGCAATCAAAAAAGGTAAACTCATGCCATTTGCAGCAACGTGGATGGAGCTAGGAGGAATTGTGCTGAGTGAAATAAGTCAGAAGGAAAAGGAAAAATATCGGATGGTTTCACTTATAGGAGGAATACAGGGGAGCCAAATAAGACATCAGTGTAAAAAAATAATAACAGTACAAAACACAACAGAACAAAAACAGACAATTATAAACAGAGACTATAAGGACAGGAAGGACACAGTGCAGGTTTCCTGATCCAGGAAACCGGGTAAAGAAGGAGTCCTAGAGAGTCCTCAGTGGGTTTTGCAGGCTTTTTATTTACATTTATCATGTTGTAGGGGGCAGGAAGGACCACAGTGCAGGTTCTCTGATCCCATGCAGACCGGGTAAAGGAGGAGTCAGAGTCCTCAGTGGTTTTTTGCAAGTCTTTCATTGGGGTTCCCCAGGCATATGGCAGGCAGGGGTGCTGGCTGGGGGGCTGGGAGGCCTGCCAGCCCCCAGCAAGTCTTCACTCTATCTGGACTCTCTGGCATTCGTTCTGCTGCTTCTCGGCTTCTGCTTCAGCTTCTTGGCTTCTGCTGCTGCTGGCATCCCCATAACACCGCCCTTAAAACACAGTCTTAGCCCAGGTGAATCCCATCTACCTATGCCCACACCCTATTCCAGGTGTCCGCCATCAGGCATGCATTCAGAAACTCAAGGATCCATCATCTATCCTGATGGCAGGAGGGCAGAAAAGCCTGACATTTTTCCTTACCCTACACAGGTGTATGGCAGGCAGGGGTGCTGGGGGGCTGGGGGGCCGTGAGGCTGGCAGTCCTCCCAGCCCCCAGCAAATCCTCACTCTATCTGGGCTCTCTGGCCTTCTCTCTGCTTCTCTCCTTCTCTTGGCTTCTCTGCTTCTGCTGGCGTCTCCATGACATCGCCCTTGAAAGCCCAGTCTCAGCCCAGGTGAATCCCATCTACATCTGCCCACACCCTACTCCAGGTGCCCGCCATCAGGCATGCATTCAGGACCGCAAGGATCCATCATCTATCCTGATGGCGGGAGGGCAGAAAAGCCTGATACTTTTTACCTTACCCTACAGAGACATACTGCAGGGGAGGAGGGAGAGGGATCTGAGGGAGGTTGGGAGGGAGGAGCACAGGGGACTGTGGTGATGGTGCACAGCTGCATTGGTGAAGGAAATTCTATGGAGACTACACCTGAGGGGGGGGAAGAAAATATTGTTTAAAAATGAACAATGATGTAAAAAATAAATTAAAAAAAATTTAAAAATGAAGTGGAGCTGCTTTGGTGAGATCAGCATCAGGCTCTGGAGCCCAGTCCATTAGGCTTCCTGCGTCTACACCGGAGGGTGTCTATGGAGCCGTATGTGTAAAGACTTCTGATAGTTCATCCAGTGATTCTCAAATGTTAGTGATCAAAAAACCACCTAGAGTGAGTGTAGGGTAAATGATTGTCAGGCTTTCCCGCCCTCCCGCCATCAGTATTGATGATGGATCCCTGCAGTCCTGAATGCATGCCTGATGGCGGGCCCCAGAGCAGTTGTGGGCATATGTCGGTGGGTACACCTGGGCTGAGAGACTGAGCTTGTAAGGGCAGCATCACGGGACGCCAGAGGAATGGAACGAGCAGCAGAGAGACTACCAGAAGGAGAAACAGCAGAGAAGCAGAGGCCACGAGAGAATGCCGGAGAGCCCAGAAAGAGCAAAGACTTTCTGGGGGGCCTACCAGTCTCCCAGCCCCCTGGCACCCCTGCCTGCCATGTGCCTGGAGTAAAAGCCTGAAAAAGCCACCGAAGGCTCCAGGACTCTCCTTCACCTGTCTGCTTGGATCATAGAGATCCTGCCCTGAGCCCTTCCTGCACTACTATGTGCTAGAAATGCAAATTCTCAGGCCCAGACCTAGATTCAGTAGGTCTCAGATGGAGTCTGAGATTTTGCACTTGTAACCTGTTCCAGGAGATACAGAGGCTGCAGGTCTATGCTTGCTTCCACACTTCGAAGGTCACTGGTAACCCCTAATTTCACAGGCAAGGCACAAACCAGTTCAGGACAGGCACCATAAAACCCAAATCACCACATGGCAGCATCACGTTCCCATCGCCCCAGCATGCCCTCAAGGACTTTGAGGAAGGAGGGTATGAGTTTGGCCTATGTTCTGAGTTTTTCCACAAATGCTTGTTGAGCAAATGAGGATTCTAACACCTGAGAAAACCCCTCTTCAGGTCTCCCTCTGACCTCCAAGGTAAAGCAAAGGAACACTGGGGAGTAAAAAGATCACCCTACATCTACTTTGAGCACCCAGTTTCCTTGATAATGGCCAATATTCATTAAGCACTTACCAGAGTTTAGGTAATTTAACCAAAGTCATCCAACCAGTGTGCAGAGATAGGATTTGAACACATGCACTCTGGCTCCATAGCCTAAACTCCTCACTACTCTGCCATAAAAAACAAACAAAACTAAGTTAGGAACCAAGGACTCAGTTCTGGCTCCCTATCCCCTATTCTTCAAACCTCCCCACTTTTATTGTCCAGCTCAAGCCCAGCTCCCTTTGAAGATTCCCCTCAGATGTGGTAGCTCATTTGCCCTCCACAGGCAACTGTCTGGGTCTGAGCCCACTCACCTGGCTCTCAGCCAGAGTTTCTTATGCGGGCAGAGCTGAACTTGGAGTAGATAGGAGGAACTCCTGGCCTTAACTTCTGGGTAGAGGGCCTTGCTATGCCCTTCTCTAGACATGTCCTCTTTGTTGGGGCAGATGAGGATGAGGGGGGAGGATGCTAGGACTTGAAGCCTTTCTTCTAGAATATTCTGAGTACCCTGAAGCCTGGCTATCATTGCACATATTGTTTTAAGTCTTGCCCAGGGCTTGTGTAGAATTACCCCTGGCCCATCCTCCCAAAGGCAACATTGCTCTCATGGGTAGCAACAGCTGAGAGGTGCACCTCTCTAGACCTAAAGGGTATCGAGGAGTAGGGAGTGGGGGTTACCGAACTGATATGAAAGTTGGAGTATCTGTAGAGGTAAACATGAGGTCCCTCAAGAGTTAAGATGAAGAGGGAGTGGGGAAAATTATGAATAGATCACTATGAGGGAAGGGGTGGGTAGGGCTGAAAACCAACTATTCCAGCAGTGCCGTTAGGTTCATTTTCTATTGTTGTATTACACATTACTGCAAACTCCATAACTTGAGACAATATAAATTTATTATCTCACAGTTTCTGTGAGTTAGGAGGCTAGGCAAGGTTTAACTGGGTCCTCTATTCCAGGGTCTTGCACAAGGTATTATTGAGGCCTGGGGTCTCATCTGAAAACTTGACCAGGGAAGGATCTGCTGCTAAGCTCATGAAGCTGTTGGCAGAATTCCTGTTCCTCCAGCAGTGTTGGACTGCAGGCCTCCATTCCTTGCTGGCTGTTGACTAGAGGCTACTCTCATTTACTTGTCATATAAGCTTTTTCAAGACAGCAACTTGCTTCACCAAAGCCAGGAAAGGAGAGATTCTACTAGCATGACAGAAGCCACCATTTTTTTAAATTTTATTTTTCTATTCCCCATACAATTGCAACCCCCTTATTTTGACCCCTTCCCCTCCTTTCCCCGCCCCCCTCCATAGTGTGTCTCTGGTTCATAGTTGTTTGTTGATTTTGATTTTTTCTTTCAGAAGCCACCATTTTATATAACCCAATCATGGAGTGACATCCCATTACCTTTGCCACATTCTATTGTTAAGAAGCAAGTCATGGGTCTCACCAATCTCCAGAGGAGAGGATCACAAGAGGTGGGGATTACTGCCTGCCATAGCCATATCCAAGCACAGAATTCCAAGGAATAGAGGAAGTTCCATGTTAAGACTTGGCCTTGTCAGGTCATTGTGAAATATTTATTAAGTGAGAAAACTAGAAAATATTTTAGTCAACAGTTTGTTGGCTTCAGTCACAGCTTCTAAGTATTTAGATAAGTTTATGGATCTACTCTACTGATAGGGGCCTTTATGTGGGCCTCTACTGATACCTTATCCTGGTCCCATAAATGTTAGGGTAGGCCAGCTTCTAGAGACATGTTCTGCAGCCACATCAGACAGGTAGAGCCTTGTCAACAGAATACTTTCTGCACATTTTTTGCCCCCTACTTGATGTAGCACAGAGTCCATTGTGTGGAAGGTAATCAGTTAAGTTTGTCTGGCTATTCAATGCCAGTGCCAGCTCCAGTGGCAGACCTCCCCCACTGACTGCCATGAGGCATCTGGGCGATTTTGAAGCCTCAGCTCTCAGGCTTCCTCTTGAGTAAAAGAAGAGGATCATCACATGGC